CCAGCAGATGGAAGAGCGCTCTCTCTCTCTCTCTCTGCATCTCCCTCTCTGTAACTCTTTCAAATAAATAAATAAATCTTAAAAAATTCCAAAACCCAAGAGAAATCTGAAATCCAACCATTTCAGATGGAAGATACTCCACTCACAGTGGCTTTCCTGGTGGCTCTGCAGGCACAGCCGTCATCGCCCGAGCAGAGCAGCCAGGGACCAGGGCAGACAGCTGACGGGGCCGTCTCTGGACTCACAGAGGTCAGCACAGGCACTTGCACACTGTAAGCCTTTGGCAAATGCTCACTGAAGTCTAGAATTCTAGGCTTCCAGGATCCATCCTAGCAGATACTCCAAGTGAAACAAACCACTTTGCCAGTTTAAAGGTTGCGTGAAGATGCCATACACACATTCTTCCTGCCAACTCAGCGGGCCAGATGGCCAAGGCAGCTGCCAGCTCCGCATTGTTGATGGAGCACTGAGAGCCCGAGGGGGTGGGGAGGCTGCTCTTGGGCCACCCTGGGTCATCCTGCAAGGGAGCAGGTGAGTAGCAGAACTGGGTCTCCTGGCTCTCAGCTGCGTGCGATCTGGATGCAGTGCTAACACCCTCTTCATTCTTCCCACGGGACACCTGCTTCTCCAGGCAGAATTGGGGGGTAGGAAGCGTCTTTTTCAGTCTATTTTTTTATTTAATGGCTTTTTGTACAGTTTTTAAACAAATCAACAAGTTTTATTATTTTAAATGTCTATGTATTTATTTTTTATTTGAGGGAGAGAGAGAGGGAGAGAGAGAGAGAGAGATGTCTCATCTGCTGGTTCTCTCCCAAAACTCCTATGGCAGCCGGGCTGGGCCAGACCAAAGCCAGCAGGCAAGAAGCCAATCTGGGTCTCACATATGGGTGGCAGGGACTTAATCATCTGGGCCCTCACCTGCCATCTTCCAGAGTGCACATTATAGGAAGCTGGAATAGGAATATAGCGGGACTCAAACCCAGGTGCTCTGAAGAGGGATGCGGGTGTCCCATGCAGTGTCTTGACCCCTGCACCAAACACCTGCCCCTCAGTGGGATTTTTAAGGGGTCACTTACTGCGGAAGAGGAGTTCATAATGGGTGGAGAGATTGTGAAGGAGGGGAATGCGTTCAACTTCCAGGTCTGCCTTTCACCAGCTGAATGTCCTCGGGTTGGTTACTTAACCTCTCTGAACCATAGCTTCCCCATTTATAAAACGAGGCAAATCAATCCATTCATTGGAGAGGCATCAGGGTTGGCTGGGTACCCACCAGAGGCTTCTGGGTGTTGGGACCATGAGAAGATGAACAAGGAGCTCTCAGGCCAGCGGAAGGTACAGGCATGTGACCAGGCGCCTGCACCTGGCAGTGATGAGTATATGGGGGGGCTACTCACAAGTGCAAGTGGAGGTGACACCATGGTGAGGGATCAGTTTTTCCTTGGGATGTGGGGCTGAGAGAGGTTAGGGTGAGATGGGGGGAGTTTAGTAGAGAAGACAGGTTGAATTGTTGTCTGTACTGAGTGTGATATGGAACTTGGTTGGTAGATTTTAAAATAATAAAATATTTTGATACAAGAAAATGGGAAACTTGATTATTAAAATTTGGATTGTGTGTGAACTACAAAGCTTAGTTAATTATTAGTTAAATCAAAGCAATTAAGAGAAGAACTAACTGACACGAGTACAACCTATTCAACAAGATTGACTGAAAATCTTCCTTTCAAATGTTCCCATCAGACCACATTTCCCAGTTTTACTTTCATCACACTTCTGAACGATGATGAGAAATTGTTTACTTAGCACCAGTGATGGGAAAACAGGCTTGAGCTCACATGCGTTCAGTGCTATTTGTGTTAACTAGTCACGCATATTTCCAGCGTTACAAAGAGGAGACGTGGTCTTCACTTCCCGGGGCCGTTTGGAAGACACTGAAAGAGGTTACAAAGAGCACCTGACTCCTAAGGTAGCAGAGCGAAGGCTGCTGAGTGTCGGAGCTGCAAAGATAGTCGTGCGTCACGCAAAGATAACGTGCGTTCTCATTTACAGAGTCATCGAGTGAAATCCGGAAAGACGAGATGCTATAGCCAAGTCATCCTGTGAACTACGGAATCTCTGGACTCGATACAATGTCCGACTTCAGAGTTTCAGACAGTGAGGGAGAAAAGTTTCCAAGGAGTATGTTCTAGTCTCTGCTGTATTGATAGTTTTCAAAACATTGTCTGTAACCCCTTCTGCGGGTTTGAACTTAACCTTGCTGTCATCCTACATGGTGGACTGCTCCCTGTCTATGGAATCTTCCAGTGTTGCCAGGGAGAAAAGACTATGGCCCATGAAACAGGGACGGCACCAGCAAAGGATCTGGGTCTCTGATGACAAAGGGAGGGGTAGTGAGGTGGCCATGTGGAGGGTGCAGACAAGAACAACAGAACAAGGGAGAAACAGCAGGGATGAGCCCACAGCATCTGCAGTCTGGGAGGAACCTGGTTAAGGAGAACTGAATTTACAGGGGAGGGCAAGAGCCCCACGCAGAACTGTTTCCAGTAATTCACCTCTTCCCTGTCTTAGCTCCCGTTTTACCAAGCAGGAAGGTGGAGCCAGCAGGAAGCACGTTGTTTATCCATAGCTACAACCAGTAATCGCCATGGGCAGTCGTTTCCAGAGGAGGAAGGTGTTGGGGCAACCTGCAGTCAAGCTGTCTTAGGACTTGAGGAAGTGCAACGCCACTGGAGAAATTCCAAGGGCGTTCCGGCCCTCGCCTGTGCAGGCTCACTTCCTTACGTAACATCCAGATACGTAACTGGAAGCCCCCCAGCGGGACCAGGCTCCAGGGAGACCAGAGGCGCAGCCCTTCCTGAGCTCAGCTAAGAGTCCTTCCCCTCTGTTGACACAGCGCACGTGGTTCTGGGCCAGCTGTGTCTTCCCCATCAGTTCCCCAGGTATGAAGGAGCCTTTTCCACGAGGATGAATCTCTTGGAGGACAAGGACTTGCCACATCTATTTTTGCTCTGCAGGACCTAGCACAACACTGAGGACTGTGGGTGTTCAATAGATACCGATCGAAGTAGTGAATTCAAGATAGATTTACCATGCAGCCACTCAGCTCGAGGCAGTGAGCAAACTACTTACACGGAGTTGATCTCTCGCGGTGAGCTCTGGGTACAAGTCATAGGTTACCATATTGAAAGGCTAAAACAGATTTCTGGGCTAAGTTTAATCATCATCATTTTGGAGCAAAGAAAATGTGAAATGCAGAGATGTGAGTTGACCCGTTCAAGGTCACCTGGATTTCATTCTGACTTACCTGCGACTTTTCCAGTGTTAAAACTGAGGTTCCTGTTTCTCAGGAAGCCTCCTCCATTCCAGGAAAACAGGAACGACTCCCACGTCCACATGGATAGGCGCGTGTTCAGTGCGGATTGGATCGGGCCCAGTTCTCTTGTCTCCCTACCCAGAGTCCTCTGGGAGACTTTGGGGTTTGGTATGCTTATCCCCAATCCCTGTGGTTGGCAGGGTCTCCGGTGGCTGTGAGTGTCACACAGGAAAAATCCAGTGAGGGGTGATGACAGTCAGAGCAGAGCCAAGCCAACGGGAGGCATGTGTCCCTATGCACCTGTGCTGTTGCGTATGCAGTGAACGCATTTCCCCTCAAACTCGTCAAGTAACTGAGAAACGCTGCAAACCTGAAGCAGGTTTATGACAAAGAACAGCCTTGTTTTAAGCTCACATGCTTTATCTAGGCCCTGAACAAAATTTCTTATACTTTTTACTTTCCTGGTTGTAAGGGAAGAAAACTCAGCAATGCCATATTCATCAAAGGCCTTTGAGAAAATAATTAAGCATTACAAATACATTACAAATTATATTACATTACAAATACATAAAAACCGATCCAGAGGGCACCTCTTTTTTTTTTTTTTTTTTTTTTTTTGACAAGTAGAGTTATAGGCAGTGAGAGAGAGACAGAGAGAAAGGTCTTCCTTCAGTTGGCTCGCTCCCCCAATGGCCGCCACGGCTGGCTCTGTGCCGATCCGAAGCCAGGAGCCAGGTGCTTCCTCCTGGTCTCCCATGTGGGTACAGGGCCCAAGCACTTGGGCCATCCTCCACTGCACTCCCTGGCCACAGCAGAGAGCTGGAGTGGAAGAGGAGCAACTGGGACAGAATCCGGTGCCCCAACCAGGACTAGAACCCGGGGTGCTGGTGCCGCAGGCAGAGGATTAGCCTAGTGAACCACGGCACCGGCCTCCTTTTTGTTCTACACGGCCCTGTCACATTGGATTCTGTCCTGATTTAGAACATTGACATTTTGTTCACCACAGCTTCTGTCCATCATCCTGGTGTTCTGTGAAAATGTTCTTCGTCTTGATGATGGCGCTATTTGGTGTTCTGCACCCAGACTCTCCTCACCCTAATCTCAGCCCCTTAGCCTTTCACGTTGAAACTCAGCAGACCCTACACACCACCCTGTGGACCACACAGCCTCCCCCTGGGTTTCCTCACTTCTCTCTTGGGATCCCTCACTTGGTCCCAGGCCTCGGTTCAGGGCAGGGAACAGTCTGCTCTCAGATTCACCCCGTGAATGCTTGACTGCAACCTTCCTGCAGAGGGCGCTGTGGAGTCCCAGATTCAGGCGCGAATCTGGCACACCGCCCACCTGGTGTTGTCTTTCTCTGGCAGTTGGACGGTTATGAAATCATTGACTTTCTATTTGCCTTTGGGGCTGATATGAATCTACTATCCTCAGATAACCACTCTGATCTCAGACAACTGCCTTACAGAACTCAACTCCTTTGCCCCATGGGTGGCCATAACATCTGCACAATTTTCCCCAGGTGTTTTGGTGGCCCAGCCACCGCTTCTGTGAAATTCTGTTTTTCCCTGGTCCCCCTGTGAGTCTACGGGGACCAGAGCACAAACGACGTTGGCACCCTGCAAGGGAAGGCTGGATGCGTCAATCCCCAAAACAAGTTTTGACATTGCTCCGGAAATGTCATCCTGCATGCGTGCACCGCTGCTCCAGGCCGTCCCTGCTGGGCAATGACGGGCAGCCGGGGCCGGGGACAGCATAAAGGAGCCGGGATCTGTAGCACCAGCTCACTCAGTCCCCGCTGCAGGCACCAGGCGGGTTCTCTCCAGGAGAGGAGCAGCAGTGTGTTAGTAAGTTGGGAGACACCGGGGGCAGGCAAGTCCCTGGTGGCTGGCCAGCTCCTCTCGAAGCTGAGGACGAGGGATCAGTAAGTCGCGCTCTTTCCTTTGAATTCCCAGCTCCCGTGACTCCAGCCTGCAGCCGTACGATGAGAGCCGCGGGACTTGCCTTGGGCTTTCTCTGTGCTGTGTTCCATCTCCTCTGGGCTCCTTCCACGGGGCTCAGGACACTGCAACTGGGAAGCTGTGTGGTCACCACAGACCTCCAGGAGATACAGAGTGTATTTTCTGAGCTTCGGCACAGCGTGGTATGTCAGGAGGTCCCTGTTGCCTTCATCTTCCCTGCTGCTCTGACTGCTCCCCAGGCAGCCCTGGCTGGGCGATCACCAGAGAGGCAGGCCGGGGACTCCTTGCTCGGGGGATGTGGTCTCAAGAAACATCTGGCATTAATGACCTAGACAGATGTTGGAGAGGGCTGCCTCCCCCTGGGCCTTGGCAGGGCGGGGAAGGAGGACTTGAAGTGGAAGACCATGAGGGCGGCCACGGACCTGTCCCTTCTTGCCTCCCCTTCCTCTGTTTAGCAGGCCAAAGATGACATCACTGACATCAGAATCTTAAGGAGGACGGAGTCTTTGCAGGACACAAAGGTACGAGCGTGGCCCAGGCGGACTCTGGGAGCAAGACTAGAAGTGGTGGCCTCTCCCTCACTTGGGTCTGATCTCTGAACTAACACACTTCTCTTTGCAGCCCAAGGGCCGATGCTGTCTCCTCCGCCGTTTGCTGAGACTCTATATGGAGAGAGTGTTCAATAACTACCCGGCCCCTGACCATCAGACTCTCCGGAAGATCAGCAGGCTCGCCAACTCCCTTCTCACCATCAAGAAGGACCTTCGGCTCTGCGTGAGTGAGGGGCGTGGGTGACAAGTGCATCCCCGCGCATGGCTTCAAGGCTTCAGCAGCCAAGCTCCCATCTTCCCCCATTTAATGGATAGAGAAACTGAGCCCGGGAGTTCTAGGAACCTATGTTGTGTTAGTTCTTAGGTGATAAGAACTCCGTTGTATTGACTTCTGGTTCTACATTGTATGCATAGAGTACTTCATAAAGCCTAAAGAACTATATGATGCTAGCTATTTGATAGCAATGATACTAGTCTGTTGTGTCCTAATGTATCCTATGTCTGGGTAGGCAATTAACAGCATTGTACCATCAAGTGTTGAACTTGACTTCAGAGCATGGTCTTACCAATTCCTTCTTCTCAGAAAGTGCTGGAACAACTGGATGAGAGCCGGGGTGGGGTAGGTGGGGTAGGGAGGTCAGCTGGGGCCTAGTGGCCACAAGTGAGCTCCGTATTTGAGTACAGAAAGCTGATGGCCAGGTAATGACCCCAACCGCTGAAATCGGAAGGGACTTTTCTACAGGAGTGAGTGGCCATAGGGCTGTGCTTCGTGGGGCAGACTGTCCACCTGCCTGTCCACGGCCAGGCAGAGAAATCAGGATCCTTAACCAACGCTGTTATTCACTGGCTCCTTTCCAGCATGCCAACAAAAAATGCCATTGTGGGAAGGAAGCAATGGAGAAATACAATCAGATTCTGCGTCAGTTCGAACAGGTATCCGCGATTTTGGCACTGATGGGATGGGTGTGCTTCCAGGGCTTGTGGATGGGTGGGATCATGCTTGTCTGGGAACCCTCTGAGCTCCCCCAGACCACCCCTTAACCCAGGGGGCACCCTCGGGGCTCTAGAAGAGCGGGGAGAGAATGTCACTCAGGGGACGTCTGGATCTTCCAGCAGCAGAGACAGGAGGCGGTCATTGTCCTACCCCCGCACGTACACATTCCTTCAGCAGCAACCACAATTTCACGCACACTCTCGTGCCTTCCTCCAGCTCGGTGGGCATCACAGCACACCTGCCGGCAAGGCCTGCAGTCCACTCCTCACCGGCGAAGCCCTGCTCAGCCCTTCACTTACTGGAAGGCCCTGGTGGTCCCATGGGCGCCCACCCTTTCCCATGCTACCTTGCAGTCGCCTCTTCTGCCTGACTCCCCCAGCCGGCTGTAAATGCCTTGGGGATAGAGATTGTGCCACTCACCCTGGATCCCCTGCCATCAGCCCAGCGGTCGGCACAATCAATATTAGTTCAGTTGTGGTGGGCACAGGAGGCACCCCCCACACGCACACCACTGAAAGAAAGCAGCCTGATACTTTGATCTCTGGGATTTAAGAGGCTTAGGTGGTGGGCCCCAATCTACTACCCCTGCAGGCATGAATTTCCCTGCATCAAACCAGGGTGATGGCCCCGTTCTCTACCTCCTCTTCCTGAAAACTGCTCTGCTCCCAGTCCCCAGCAGACCCCCACCCCCATGGGGGAACGGATCAGCCCTGAAGCACACGTCAGCACTTCCAGACCCACTCACGGCCGTGAACGTCTTTCTCTTGCAGCTGGAGCCCCAGGCAGCCGTCGTGAAGGCCCTGGGGGAACTGGACATCCTGCTGCAGTGGATGGAGGAGACAGTGATGGACGGAGGAGACAGTGAAGCAGAGAGGCACTGATGCCTGGCCGAGGGTCCCTGCCCAGGCCCCGCGGAGGCAGAACCGGGCCCGAACCACCCTCTTCCGATTCACTCAGTGCTGGTCACAATGTATCGTATTTATTTATTGTTTGTCTCCTTATATGGTTGTCTTTCTGTGCTCCCAGTCTTACTTCGGTTCATTCTTCAATAAGATTTTTCTAATACCGCTTATCCTCTTGGATTATATTTATTAGCTAATATATTTATTTATTTTGCTATCGACCTTATTTATTTTTGTACTTTAACATGAGACCTTTAAACATTCCCAGATTATGTTTATAACAGACTGGATGATGTATTTGCATATAGTAAAAAGAAAAAACCTCTAAATTAGAAAAGAGTGGCTAGAGGGGTTAGTCAGTCACTTTTGTTAAGGATGCCTCACTCACCACTACTGCTCTGTGAGCTACTTAAAATCAAACCATTGCCTCCTAAGTGTGGGTCACGGATGAAGAAGTCCAATGTGGGGTGAGAGACCTGACTTACAGTCTCTGGCCACCCCTGTTCAACTCCCCAGCCCTCTACTGTACACCTCCACCTGCATGGCCAACACATCTTTCTACAAATAAAGTGTGCTTTGCAAAATGTCTGCTTGGAGTTTGAAAATGTCTCAGGAGCAAAAAATAGTGTGGACCAGGAGCTTGAATCTCATGTCGCCCAGGGGCCTCTTGGCCTCCTGGAGAAGCAGTGCAAGCGAGAGCCTGGGCTCTGCCCTCATTCGCTCATAGCCCTGGGCCCACGACGGCCCTTGGCATGAAGGACCGACTGAGTGAGCGGCCTCAGCTGGGCCCACTTTTCCCTCTCTGGCTTGGAGCGCTGTCCTCCCTGCACCCCTGTTTTCTTCCTCACCCCAAGTTCCCATGTCCCTGTGTTGGTGTCTTGAGTGCCACACACGTGACAATGCTCAGAGGCTTAAGGACACGCAGTTGCTCTGTGGCCTCGCCAAGGGAGGAGTATGAGCCCACTTTTGGGGCGCTCCCGTTTGAGAGTCTGTCCGGCCCCAGAGGTTAGGTTGTTGCTAGATCAAGGCTTTGTCTGTGGCGCCTATGAAGGCAGTGTGTGCTTTCAGGCTCGCTCCAGGTGGAGCTTCCTTGGACTCTGAGGGGCCAGAGTTCGGGCCTGGCCGGCCTCCTCCTTCCTCCCTCCCCACCAAACTGCAAACTGCACCACCAGCTCCGTGGCTTGCCCAGCCTCAGCTTGCTCCTGAGTGGCTCTCCTTACCGCCTCCAACTTCCGTCTCCATCCGTGGCCTGGGCCCTGACATGGTTGAGTAACTTTATGGTTCTCCCCCCGCCCCATTATACCAATAACAAGTGCCCAATGGGGAAAATTTGGAAAATACAGCAGCAAAAAAAATTAGAAGCCAGGAGCCAGGAACTTCTTCTGGGTCTCCTACTTGGGTGCAGGGCACAAGGACTTGGGCCATCTTCTACTGCCTTCCCAGGCCATAGCAGAGAACTGACTCAGAAGTGGAGCAGCCGGGTCTCCAACCGACGCTGCGGGACCCACCTCCCTGTCCAGGGCAATTGTCTCTTCTCTGCTTGACTCGCCGTAGTACTGATGATGGAGGCAAACCAGACTGAGGGTTAAAGGAAAACCTCACTGAAGGTGGTTCAGGAGGGACAGGCTCCTAAAGAAAAGTTTATGGTGGGAGTGTGTGGGGGGGAGGGAGGGTGGAGTGGGAAGAATCACTACGTTCCTAAGTTTGTATTTATGAAATGCATGAAGTTTGTATACCTTAAATAAAAAAATAAGAACAAAAGAATGGTTTATGGTACTTGTTTCTGAAGAGTTAAAATTGTGTATGTGCAGGTGTAAAAAGTTAAGCTTAAGCTTACAGGTTTAAACCTTCCTGGTACAGCTGTAAAAATAAGACAGTAAAGTAGCACCTTGACAGTAGGGACTCCATTTTGGAGCACTTGAGACTCCATTCTGGGAAAGCACCCCCCCACCGTGAGACTCTGGTTTGCAACCATGATCTCAAATAGTCGGACAACAGCAGTGCACTACATCACCCTTGGCAGAGCACAAAAACCCCCTAGCATGATTGCTCAAGCTTAAAAGTAGAAAGGTTGCACCTGGGTTACCTGGGCTAATAATAAAGATGTGATTTGTCTGTGCCTTACATTAATGTCAAGTCCTAATTGTAAGATTGTAACTGGTATTGTCAAGATTATGATGAATATTAATTTCACTTAGGTTTTAGGTTATGTTGACCCCAGTAACCATATACTCTCTCTTGATTTTATGTACTCTCTTTTGATTTTAGCAACTGTGTATAGTAACCGTGCATAACAACCATGTATTCCCCCCTTCCCGGTTTTGCGGTTTTTGCCTTTATAAACCCTAACCTTTGGTTATTCGGGGCTGCTCTGTTCATGTATGATCAGACAGCCCCAGCATGCTGGATAATCAATAAATCTTTAACCCTTTGCTGGTTGCATGAGAGAAAAGTCTCTTGGAGTCGTTCCTCGGGCGGTGGGCTTTTTCAGACTCCAACATTTCCAATTACAATAATGCAGATGACTGCTCTCATTGGTTAAATACTTACCATGTGCTAGATACACACATTATTTAATCCTTAAACTAGTCCTGTGAGCTAGGTGGGATCATCACCAGTTTGCAAGGGATAATGTGCTCAGAGACGGTCGGTGATTTGTGTAAGGTTTTACAGCTCATGGAGAGCAGAACCAAGGTTTGAATGCAGGCGACTGATAGCTGGCCGGACACTTGCCCACCCTACTGCCTGCTTTCCCAGCACTGGCGTCTCTTATTCAGAAGCATAGGAGAAACACCTAACGAGCATGTGGGAGGATTCTGACCCGGACCTTCGAGAGCCTGGACAAGTGACACAACCACCTTTATTTAGTCTTTGCACCTGCAGACCAGGCTTGCCTTCCTCCCACACTGCGTAGGCAGGAGGCCTAAACAAGACTGTCACAGCTGATTTATGGAAAGACCTGAGACATGCTGCACGTGTCGTCTCACCGAATTTACCCAGGAGCGTGACGAGATGGCGACCTTGGCATTCTCATTTTACAGACGAGAAACTGCAGACCGGAGGGTAGAGCCTTGTTCTAACATGAGTGCAGGTGGGCAAACTGGAGAACCGTGCTGTTAGTCCCTGGTGACACTGGCTGGCTGGAAAGCCCACCGCAGAGAGAACACTTGACCAGTAGCAGTCCTGGTTAGAGCGCAGGAAGTGTGAACCATCAGCTTCCTGGTGTGATGCGTCTCTATGACAACTGCTTGGAGTTTTGTCTTCCCAAGGGTCTAAACCTTGTCCCCTCAGCAGGCAGTATGCCACTTCCTTTGGAGATCACTAGATAAGCATGCTAAACCTCGGACTGACCTAGCTGCTCGGGTGACTATGGTGGTGACACCGGGGGTAGGTCACTCCTCCTTTCTCGGCCTCAGTTGAGAGATCTCAACAAGCAGACAATGGCCAGACTGCAAATAAGGATAGAACTCTGACCCCCAGTCTGCAACAACCAGCCCAGGTGCCCAGCCCACTCTCTACAGCCTACTGACTTGAAGGCCACCACTATCTGCTACGAACCCTGTAGCAATTGGCCCCAGATGGCCAAGACCCAAGACAGGATCAATAATTGGCAGGCTCTCCAGTATTTGTCCTTGCTTCAGCTTAGGACCAACCAGAGAAAGCTGTGTATGTGCCTCTAACCAATCACCTAGGATGTCCCTCCTCTAGTTAGCCCAGCACACCTCCCCAGGCCAACACCTCCCTTCAGGGTGTACCTGGAACTTTCGCTTTTCCCACTAAAAAGCTTTCCCACTCCCCTGCCTTCCAAAATGCAGGTGATGGAGGCTGACTTCCTTGTTACAGCAAGCTCTGCACACAATAGCCTTTCTCTGCTTGCATTGGGTTGGTCTCCGCTTCTTTCCACACTGCATTTGTAATGAAAGGATGGGTGATTCTGGATTCTAGAGGCCAGATGTGCTCCACTGACTCAGGGCTCCAGATGTAGCTGTTGCCATCACTGCCTTCAGAAAGGAGTCGGCCTCGTTCCTGTATCACCGACCTTGAATCAGAGCTTAGGTGAGTGCATCTGATTGGGCAGGCCTAGCTGAGCCAAGCTCTGGCTGCCAGGGAGGCTGGACAAGCCTTCCGTCTGATGGGAGATGAGATCTTTCTCGGAATGAGATCCAAGTGTGGGTGACATGAAAGAACAGAAAAAAATTCATTCTATTTCTCACTTTCCTACATTGCAGTTGTGAAACACGAGGATTAGAACAGGTGATTCTGGATTCTAGAAACCGGATGTGCAACCAACATTGGATTCAGACTTTGAGGTGAGTGCATCTGATGGGGATTTTCCCAAATTCCCTACTTTGGTGGATCCAGGCCTTTCCCAACATTGTCCTTTGTAACTGTGGTTGCCGTCCGTCTCCGTGTATAGGGAGGGCAAAGGGACAATTCTCCCACCAGATGCTTATGTTCCTGAGCCACATGACTGTGTTTCGTTCAGCTTTTAGCTTTCTCCACCCCACTTCGTCTCAGCTCAGTAAAACACTTTGTCAATAACAAAGAACTGAATTCAAGAGTAAGAGAATGGGCCGGCGCCGCGGCTCACTAGGCTAATCCTCCGCCTTGCGGCGCTGGCACACCGGGTTCTAGTCCTGGTCAGGGCGCTGGATTCTGTCCCGGTTGCCCCTCTTCCAGGCCAGCTCTCTGCTGTGGCCAGGGAGTGCAGTGGAGGATGGCCCAAGTGCTTGGGCCCTGCACCCCATGGGAGACCAGGATAAGTACCTGGCTCCTGCCATTGGATCAGCGCACCGTGCTGGCCGCGGCGGTCATTGAAGGGTGAACCAACGGCAAAAGGAAGACCTTTCTCTTTGTCTCTCTCTCTCACTGTCTACTCGGCCTGTCAAAAAAAAAAAAAAAAAGAGTAAGAGAATGTAAAGTGTTTAAAGAAAAAAATATTTAGGGGCCGGTGCTGTGGTGCAGCAGGTTAACACCTTGGCCTGAAGCGCTGGCATCCCATATGGGCTCCGGTTGGAGATCCGGTTGCTCCACTTTCAATCCAGCTCTCAGCTATGGCCTGGGAAAGCAGTAGAAGATGGCCCAAGTGCTTGGGCCCAGCACCTGTGTGGGAGACCCGGAGAAAGCTCCTGGCTCCTAGCTTCAGATTGGCTCAGCTCTGGCCGTTGTGGCATCTGGGGAGTGAACCATCGGATGGAAGACCTCTCTCTCTCTCTCTTTCTCTCTCTGCCTCTCTCCTCTCTGTGTAACTCTGACTTTCAAATAAATAAAAAAATCTTTTAAAAAATTTAAAAGTTAAATTGCTTTGTGTTCGTAAGTGGTCCCTAGCTAAGTTTCCCATGAGTCAGCAACATTTGATCTAGGTCACTCACCCTGTTTTGCAGACTGGGCCTTGCTTATAGGAGGTAGTACAATAAATGGTAAAAGGGGCTGGGTGTTTGGCCTAGTGCTTAAGAAACTTGCATCCCATATTGGGGCGCCTGGGTTCAAATCCCAGCTCTGTTCCCAATTCCAGCTTCCTACTGGTGTGCACCTGGGAGGCACAGATGGGGAGGGTTAAGTGGTTGGCCCTCTGCCACCCACATGGG